CTTTCGAAATCCTATAATTTTCTTCAACCTGGTTCGGAACTTGGCAACCAGCAAGTTGTGGTCAGAGTCAATGTCTGCCCCAGGAAGCGTCTTCACATCCTTCACACTGTTTCTGAATCGATGTTTCACAAGGATGTAGTCCAGCTGATGCCTCTTCCAATCCCCAGGTGCCTTCCATGTGTAAATTCTTCTCTTTGGCTTCTTGAACCAAGTGTTGGTAACAATCAATCCATTTCGTTCACAAAAGTCAATAAGCATTTGACCTCTGTGATTCCGTCTTAAGCGAATTAAAAAAGAAAATTTAATTTTTAGGTGGAAGAGTTCTATCTTCTGCCATGTAGTTGATTGGAAATTATGCTGTGTTTCAAAGGAACTGAACTGTCTCCAAGCATGAAACCAGTGTGAAACAGGTAGTAAGTGTACTTGTTCCTCTGAAACATCAATTAACTTCCGACAGGTCATAATCATTATATCCGAGAAGACTCTTCATAACCACGGTTTGTGAGAACCTCAAATTCTTCATATTGTGCTTTTGTACTATTTCATATGATTCCATCAGGCAGTTTGGTGGAATGGTGGTGATGTAGACTCATTCTGGAGCTATGGGGTTCAAGCCTCAGCTGGAACACCGACTCTCCTAACTGAGGTTTCTTTCAAGTTCTCACACTTTGTCAGTCATCTCTACCATATGATGCTATATAGTGCACTTAGTGACTCACACAGTTACAGTCACACACCATCCCCATGCATTTCACCACATATAGTAAAGTTAATTTAGGCAAGTTTTGAGGTAACCAGGCTTTGTATATAACATTGTTATAGAAAAGAAAACATGAGGTACACATCCTCTCTTTGGTATGTAAATACAACATGGGTACCTACAGCAGCTGACACTTTGGTCACTTAAAATGTGTATGGGTCCTTGCGGGAGGGAGAGATTGCTCCGCACCTATCCACAGTCTTGTAAAAAATGTAAACTGAAAAAGGAAGGAAATATACCAAATACTATTTTTAAAGGGAAAATTATTCTTATATGCTGAATACAAAGTGCAGTCCATACACAATTGTTGAAATAGGTTAAGTGTATATATGTAAGCAAACTTTTATGGCTATACTCCTTTGAGAAATCCCTGATAGTGCCCTTGAAAGTGTTTTCATTGCAAGTGCACTTTCTTGTTCTCTGCTATTGAAGCCAAAGTGGTGAAGTAAGAAGGAGTAAGAACACTGTCTTCTGGGGTGTAATGCCATGTAGTCTGCTGAAAGTCAACCAACATTTTGGAGCAACATATTGCCTCCATCTTCAGGGCTCTGGAATAAGCCAAGGGAGAAACCAGGATGAAAGGTGTCAAGCAGGGCTTTCAAGAGGTGGGAAGCTTGCCACCTGCTTTCATCCTGGTTTCTCCCTTGGTGTATTCTGAGACCCTGAAGATGGAGACAGTATGTTGCTCCAAAATCAGATGTTAGTAGGCTCGTGTCCAGTGGTTAATATAAACTTCAGCTGCTGTGTGAATATACTCGTACTGCAGTGTTGGCTCTGCCTAAGATGTAAGTGCTGAGGTGTAAGCAGCAGAATGTGAACTGTTGGCACACAAACTGTGCAAGGATTTGAGTTGGACTTACGGAAAAAACAATTTCTTTGTATAACCAGTGTGAAATCCGAGAGCCACTGCATATTTTAAAATGTTTTATTCTGTTGATTACTGATTAATGCTTGGTTCTGATGTGAAATCACCAAACAGAAGTGTTGTCTTTAAACCTCAAAACCACACACCATTCATATTGTATGACCATACTAGTGATAAAAGTTCTTGGGATTACTGAGTGTCTGGACTTCTCCTTCATTTAGTAATCCAAAAGATTCTTTGGAAGTTTAAGTGTTTTTATCAGCTTTAAACATACACAGGTCAGTTAGAGAGAGGTAATCTCCATCAGTAGTCTAATAATTGGCCTGAGTAGCTCCTCCTAACAGACCCAACTAAGTAATTGCCTGATATAGCCCCATGTGTGTTTGCTTCCACCATGTGTACTGATTTGTTGGGTTTGTTTGATTAGGGAGTACGAAGATCTGACGACAGGTCAGATGGTGCTGCAGGACCTGGTGGAGAGAGAAGGAATCCCTGTATTTGAAAGTGTGCCCATTGCTCTCAACTGTACCGCCAAGGTGAGTCGAGGAATAATGGTTTCCACATGCGAGTATATGAATGTATTATCAAATTTTGAATATGAAGCTGAGTGATACAACAGAGAATGATTGAATTTAATATCTCCAGATGCCTCTCCTATCCTGAATAATATTTTTAATAATTTTTTTGTTTTTCTGTATGCATGAAATTTATTGTTTTTACATCGGTTTCACAACCTTGTCAGGATTGAAACTATGAGGGAGAGTCAGTAAATAGGTCTCAAATGGATATAAAAAGGAATGCTCTCTAGAATATGCTGGAGAACTGTGTTAGGCCCCAAACTTGAGATGGTTGTGTCCCCATTTTCCAGTTAGATGATTCACCCTCATAATACAAGGGTTGGAGAAAAAGTAGTGGCAACACTGCTCTAACATGAAAGATGTGCATCAGGTGGCACTAGCACCGTCTGTACCTGATAGCAGAAGTTCAGTTGAAGTGGTGCAGTGTGTGGCTCTGGTTGTGTTTCATTGAGTTGCATTGTGCATTGTCTTGAAGTGCAGAAGCCCAGTTCAAGCACCCTAACATGTTCACGAAACGAAAACAACGCTCCTGGATAAAAATTGAAGTTGCACGAGGTCGTAGTGCACAAAACTGTTATCAGGGACTGCAAGGATCATGTGGTGACGTTACTTTGCCATATCACACAGTGGCATGATGGGTGAAATTGTTTTGCGAAGGGAGGGATGCCATTCAGGATGACCCCAAGTTGACAACCACACAATTCACCTTCTTGCTTCTTTTGCTGGATGTCGATCAGTGATAGGCTGGGTGGGAGTTAACTGCTGAGGTAGGCGTATGTCACAAAACCATGCTCCACATTCTGCATGATATTGTTGGATACCGCAAAATTGCAGCGCATTGGGTACCCCATACAATGTCAGAGGTGCAGCAGTGGCAACGTTATGCAATTGTGCAGGACGTGTTGGACCGGTAACAGAGGGAAGGTGATGACTTCCTTGGAAAGGTCATCACTCTGGACGAAACTTGGGCTCACTCATACGAACTGCACTTGAAGCGACAATCAAATGAATGGAAGCATCCTGGCTCTCTTCATCCAAAGAAAATGTGCCCTACACATTGTACTGTGAAGGCGATGTTCATTGTGGCATATTACATTGATGGAGTGATACTGTGAACCGATACTACTCCCGTCTTCACCCTACCACCACCAAGCGTCGGTGAAGTCGGGAGTGGTTCATTGTCCCTGGCCCATGCCAGCTCCCTAAGATCATCATGGGAAACCAAGCTCGCAGCAGAGAATCATTATTGAAGTCAATGACAGACCCAAAAATAACAATGTTTAATAACCACAAAAATAAGTTATGACAAAAATACACAAAAATATACATATACAGATAGAATAAACCTGGCTGAGTTTCTCCACCCTACATTAATCCGCACCTCGCGGCATCCGCTCCACAACCTGCCCAGTTTCACTGGCCCAGTGGCATTTGAATACAAGTCCCTTCCTAGCCACATGCGGCATCAAGACAAATACATAGAATAACTAAATTGAACTGGTCCGCCACAGGCGGCATCAAGAAATTACATGTCTATATAATACAGGCTAAGCAAACCTCAGTCACAGGTGGCCTCAAGAAAGTAATATATATATTTATATAAAAAAACTAACCCTCGTATCACCGCCACGCCACCCCCCCAATAGCTGGCGACTGTAAACCCCAACGTCTGCGGCCAGACCCAGAGTATGCCGAAATGCAATTTTGGAACAAGACCCCTCTGAACTGAAATTTAGAAAATATCCCTGGCTGGTCTGCCAGACGTGATTACCCAAGTGGATCCACTTATCAGACTAAAACTTCGCTCTCCAACATACTTCCTCCCGAGACACGGGTAGAAAGGAAGGGGAAATCACGTGGTCTTCGGGAGAGAAGGAGGGGCTAAGCTTAGGATCGTGAAAGAAAGGGTAGCGTGGAAGATATGGCTGGAAGCCATGATGTCACTCATTACGTGAGCCGGTCCATGCACGGCTCGACTGCACCACACCGTACCTCAACGACAGACAGTAAACGCTGCCTACTACTGCAATTTCCTGCATAATCATCTTCGTCCAGCACTGGGGAGAAAGTGACAACACTTGTTGGCAATGAACACCATCATTCTTTATGACAATGCAATTGCTCCTACTGCTGACGCTGTTCAGGAGGATCTCCTTCACCACTGGCGATGGGAGATACTGCAGCATCTGCCATACTCACCCGATATGAGTCCATGCGATTATGATTTCTTTGCCAAAATGAAAGAACCACTGTGAGGGACATGTTACAACACAAGAGAGGAGATGATTCGTGCTGTAGGGCGGTCACTGCTGGACATCAACAGAAGTGGATGCGCTGATGGCGTACGATGCCTTCCACAAATTTGGCAGGTGGTGGTACACATGGGGAGCGATTATATTGAAGGAATGTGTGTTTACCTCAGGTAATAAAGTCATGTCAGAACTATAGAGGTGTTGCCACCATTTTTATCTGACCTATGTATTAATGAAGCTAGAACAAACTTATGGACAGTGGGTTTGGGGAGGCAGTTTCTTGGCCACCAGGGTCTCCCGTTTTATCTCTGTTGGAATTTTACTTTTGAGGTTATGTCAAGGACTCTGCCTGTTCAGAAAAGAGTGAACAGTATGGAAGTCCTGAAAGTCAGAATTACGATGGAGGGTCAGTAAATAGGTCAGAGATGGATATAAAATGAAGCGCGATATTCAAACCTGTGAAAATAATTTTTTTCTCGACATATCCTCAACCAAAATTGATACAATTGTCCCAGTGCTTTACCAGTGCATTGGAACCCACAGCATAAGTCTTTTGACTGTTGTCTCAGCCACTTCTGCACCTGGTTGGCCATCATCTCTGGCCTTCTGATGTCACTGGGGTAATTTTTTGATTAGGTTGTGAACTGTTTTCTGCAACACACTTCCCACTGTAAACATGAAACATTCATGAATATCATGTAAGAATTGAGGTTTTCATGGCAGTGCCTATGAAGAAAGCAGTTTTCTGGGATGTGGCACCATGTAGATATTGTGTTAACCGACGTTTCGGAGGAACATATCGCCTCCATCTTCAGGGTAGAAGAAAAAAGAAAATCCACAAGCGAGGAACCAGCATGAGCAGGTGCTAATATCCTTTGCATTGAGTCCCTTTGTCCACAAGAAACACACAACAGAATTCTGCTTTTCGGTTGTACACTCCTCAAGTACGGTCACCATTTTGACTACTGAACCCAGCCTCTGAACATGTGCATGCATGTCTGCTACCTAGACTGTCATGGAACTGGACTCTGCTGATACATAATGGTACACATAGGAAACCTATTACTTCCATTACAGCTGTTTTATTTCCATTTGTGGCCTATTTACTACTCCCTCATATTTTCTTTTCTGTTTTGTAACATTTCACATTGTTTTTAGAACTTACAGATGTAGATGTGTCCCAATATTCACATGTGACACTGTTTACGAATTATGCATTTAATATACGAGTAGTTTTCACAGAATAATGAGCACTTTTTTTTTTTTGCAATAGGTATTACGGGAAAACATAAGTGTACAGGATCTTGGACTTAAGGATTTTGCGCAGCCAGTCAAGATGGCACACGTCCAACTTGGTGACAAATTAATGTAAGTTGCACAAAATGATCTGGTGAATTTACTATATAATAAACACGCTTTAATTTTGACTACAAAAAGAAAAAGAGACATAGGATGAAACAGATGATGAGCTTACAGAATGCCGTGTAAGGTATTACTGAAATCATGCAAATTTACTTCACATTACTGCTACAGTTGATTTTTCATTTATTGGATTATTTGTAAATACTGAAGTATAGTGAATATAAAATGTCACCACATATTGGATGTATTGGGATTCTGTTTGGTAGCTGTGCTGAAGAGTCGCCTTTCTCCATTTTTGGTCACTCTCGGCTGCCATGTATTGTACTCTATCAGATTTGGCAATAGTGAGACTGCAGAAATGTTGTGGTGGACTGAAGGCTTCTTGGTGGCTCTGAGATTGAAAGTGGTTCTTTATGATACTTGGGACCTATAATCCTTCACATTCTCAGTGTGCTTCATCCTGAGCAGAATGTTATGTTTGAAATGCACATTCCATGTGCTCTGTCTGTTGTGTGTTAATGTGCCCATTCAGATACCACAAAACATTGCTATAATGGACTAATTGGGGGGGGGGGGTCTGTTGTCACCGATGCCTGCTATAACCAACTGAAGGGGGTATTCATGGAAGTACACAATATGATAATGCAGGCAATACATGCACTAAAGATAAAAACAAAACAATGTGATTACATAAAGATTTTTGTATCAGGGTTCTTTTTTTTATTATAACTAGCTTTATAACTACAAAACCTACAGACATCTGGGGTTGAAGTCAGTAACATCTCTCCCTGTCAGATTCTGTTATATCCAAAATCTGTTAAATGTCTGGGTCAGTTATATAACAAGGGTTTACTGTATAACCAAATGGTGCCTAAAATATGTATCATCTTGGGATAATCTTAGCCTAGTGGATTGACAGAGCAGACTGGGTCACATGGCTGCAAAGTTCACGCAGCTGGGATTGTATCAAGAGGTTGTTGATATTCTCTCAAGTTTTCCTCTGTATGGGCCATAGATTTTCACACTGGAGAAAGAAGTGTCTGATATGAATGTTGCCATGTGTTATTGACTAGACATGGGGTTTGGATTGATGATTGGATTTATTGTACACTTATAACTACAAATAATTATAACAGTATTACTGATTTACACACGCACGCGCACACACACACACACACACACACGAGTCTTCTGTTTGTTCTGTCATCAAGTAGTTGTTGCCCGGTAGCGGCTGCTAACAATGGAGATTCCTCACGGCCAGCCACAGACTGGCACTGCTCACTCACCACTCTAGAATACTAAACATGAACTCTGACTTCAGAGTCTTGAGTCTCATTTTATGAGTGACGGTCAGTCGGCCAGTCTGTCTTGGCATAAAGCACCCATCTGGGACTTGCGACCACATCTTTATAACTGTTTGACAGTTACAGTCTTGTTTCTTCCGTGGGCGCCCTCTCTGACGAGCGGACGGGTCTGTCTTCTGTATATGCTGCTGGTCCTTACCGGTGCAGTCTTTCTTGGGTCTGAGACCCTTGGTACTTGAGACCATATATTACTGTCTCAAATTTGAGACTTCCCTCTTCGTCACCTATGACTCGCAGGGTCACGGTGAAGGTATTCAAACCCACCTCCACGCAAGCCTCTGACTTCTGTCAGTCAGAGTCAGTTCGTCTTGGCATCGAGCCCCTTGAGGCCCACGACCAGAGATTTTTTTTTTCAACTGAAATCTTGTGGTAATAGCCCTTATGTAACATCCTCCCTGATGAGAAGATGGGTCTGTCTCTTATACCAAGCTTGTCCTTGCTGTGTAGCCTTGGCATGGACCACACAGAAAACACTAATTTTGAAAGTTTCTCTATTCTTGTGTGTTTATTTGTTGCTCTGGAAACGCTTTAACACGTCGTTGCCTAGCAATGGCTGCTTACTCATTCCAGTATTTCGGATTTCAGCTATCACGTGTTTATTTGTTGCTGCTGAAAATGTTTACTACACAATTTCCTAACAGCAGTCACCTCTCTTTGTTCCACTGTTCTGGCTTTCATCTGTCATATCAGAATTTTGTGTGAAGTATGAACCTTCTAGGAAGGGTAAGAGAAAATTCAGAAGAAAGTTTCATGGGATTCAAGTTCCCCACAGAAATGCTGTTCAGGATCATCTCCGTAAAGTAAAAACAACTGGCCTGTCAGCAAATATGAAACCAAACTCAGACATTTAGTGTTAAGGCAAGAAGAGTTGAACTATATTGGACTTCAGCTTGATCATTCACCTCAAAGCATCTTAAGTTCCTTACACATGAAATTGGAATGTCAGAAGAGACAAAATTATGGAAAGCATGACCTTACAAAATCACACTTTTGCACTCTTTGTAACCACGTTATCTACTATTTCTGTAACTGATATCTTCGAGCAGCAAACAATAGTGAATTTGATTCTGAGTTGATTATCTCTTCAGATGAGGCTTCTGGACACATGAACAGAACAAAGCAAGAGATACTGGAACACGAGGAATTCACATCTTATGCATTAATTCCATGTCATGTAAAGCTGGTGTGTTATGTGCTCTAAGTTTGAGGAGGATTATGGGTCCTGTATCACTTGTCCACATGTTTCCTCCATCTCTTAATGCAACATAAACATTTATTTTAAAATGCCATTACAGTCACATTTAAATTTCCTAAAATGTCATTAAAATCACATTTTATTTTACTGTTGCGACATGTTTCAGCCCTATAAGGCCATCCTCAGGCAGCTTGATTGAGACCACTATACTGCATCAGCACGTATATCAGTGCGGCAGTTTCAGCCCTGTAAGGCCATCCTCGGGCAACTTGATTGAGACCACTGTACTGCATCAGCACGTATATCAGTGTGGCAGCTTCAACCCTATAAGGCCATCCTGAGGCAACTTGATTGAGACCACTGTACTGCATCAGATCGTATATCAGTGCGGCAGTTTCAGCCCTGTAAGGCCATCCTCAGGCAACTTGACTGAAACCACTGTACAGCATCAGCACGTATATCAGTGCGGCAGCTTCAGCCCTATAAGGCCATCCTGAGGCAACTTGATTGAGACCACTCTACTGCATCAGCACGTATATCAGTGCAGCAGTTTCAGCCCTATAAGGCCATCCTCAGGCAACTTGACTGAAACCACTGCACTGCATCAGCTCATATATCAGTGCGGTAGTTTCAGCCCTATAAGGCCATCCTCAGGCAACTTGACTGAAACCACTGCACTGCATCAGCTCATATATCAGTGCGGTAGTTTCAGCCCTATAAGGCCATCCTCAGGCAACTTGGTTGAAACCACTGTACTGCGTCAGCACGTATATCAGTGCAGCAGTTTCAGCCCTATAAGGCCGTCCTGAGGCAACTTGATTGAGACCACTGTACTGCATCAGCACATATATTAGTGCGGCAGTTTCAGCCCTATAAGGCCATCCTCAGGCAACTTGACTGAAACCACTGTACTGCATCAGCACGTATATCAGTGCGGCAGCTTCAGCCCTATAAGGCCATCCTGAGGCAACTTGATTGAGACCACTGTACTGCATCAGCACGTATATCAGTGCGGCAGTTTCAGCCCTATAAGGCCATCCTCAGGCAACTTGACTGAGACCAGTGTACTGCATCAGCTCGTATATTAGTGCGGCAGTTTTAGCCCTATAAGGCCATCCTCAGGCAACTTGATTGAGACCACTGTACTGCATCAGCACGTATATCAGTGCGGCAGTTTCAGCCCTATAAGGCCATCCTCAGGCAACTTGATTGAGACCACTGTACTGCATCAGCACGTATATCAGTGCGGCAGTTTCAGCCCTATAATTCCATCCTGAGGCAACTTGATTGAGGCCACTGTACTGCATCAGCACGTATATCAGTGCGGCAGTTTCAGCCCTATAAGGCCATCCTCAGGCAACTTGATTGAGACCACTGTACTGCATCAGCACGTATATCAGTGCGGCAGTTTCAGCCCTATAAGGCCATCCTCAAGCAACTTGATTGAGACCACTGTACTGCATCAGCTCATATATCAATGTGGTTGTTTCAGTCAATTAACATGTGCTGCAGGATGGCCTTATAGGGCTGAAACATGTCACAACAGTAAAATAAAATGTGATTTTAATGATATTTGAGGAAATTTACGTGTGATTATAATGGCATTTTAAAATAAAAGTTATGTTGCATTGGAGATGGAAACAAGTGGATGACTGATGCATCAATCCAACAGGATGCTGAAATATGATGTTACAGGTCCTGTGTTGTACGAGGGGGGACCCAAAAATAACCGGAATTTATTTTTGTTATTTTTTATTTTTGCATTTTTATTGAATTGTATATTAGTCCCCTTCAAAGTATTGTCCATGTGCATTAATGCACTTGTCCCAACGCTTTTGCCACTGCTCAAAACAGTGCTGGAATTCTTGAGGCTGGATACTGTTCAAAGCCTTTAGCGTGTTTTCTTTGACTTCATCCA